TAAAACGTATACAAATAGTAGTTTTATAATGTACACAATTTTTTTTTTTTTTTTTTTGGCTGTAATTGATCAGAAAATATCAGTTAAAACAATTGTCAATTGAATTTAATCATAATTTTATGTATCTTATATTAATTATCTAAGATATATGTGATAATTTGTTATGTTAACTACTAAATTCATCTCTATTCTTTATTAATAACTACATCAATATATTTATAATTCCAAAAAATAAATTGCTCTGTTTTTATTTTATTCTAAATTTAAGAAAATTCACCAATTTGATGTGATTTATTAATTTGTTATATTAATTTATAAGTTTCAATATTTATTAAAATTTATAATGAACTATTGTTATAAACTTCAAAAATAATAACAATGTCTCAGTCGTAATAAAGTATCATACGTTTTGGTAATTTTTTAAGTTTTATATTAAGTGTAAAGTTGGTATAAAACATTTTATACGCGTATATTACCAACACCAAAACTATAATGTGTGCTTTTTTTTTCTGCTTGTGAATACATTTTCTACCATAAATTTCTCTCTAATCGTAAACTTCAAAAGNGATTTCCAGTTGAAATTTTCGTAAAATTGGAGTATTGAGGTGGTAATATTGTAATTATTCTTTGTAACCTTTTTTTTTTTTTCATAATTGAGTAATACGCCAGAAAACCGGGAAAAATTACACTACAACGATATCTGTTGTATTTTATTTTTGGTGTTTTTAATATTATTCACTTAAAAATAATCTTAAAAATCTGACATTTGTGAAATATATAATACATGAGCCCTTTTTAGACGTTAAATATTTAAAATATTCAGACCAACTTTGTGGTATTCAAAGCCAGTTTTATTTTTCAGTTTTGATTTGATTTTATTTGATTCCGAACAGTTTTATTTTTTCAATATATTTTAATAACACTAAAATTTCTGAATACAATTCTTGCGCCGAGACGGACTCAATAAATAATAATGCTTACCCGGTTAACCTTTTTTTTACCCATGGTTGATCGGGGGTAGTTCTATATGAGAACTATATTGTTAGACAAAACATTTTTAGTTCCTCATATATCTGGTTTGCGTCGATAGGTATCAGATATTTAATTTGCTATCAATAAAATAGCGTAACCTTTTTAATGATTTAATAATGTTTTTTGCTCCCAGTTTTTTATTAAATTAATATTGTATAAGAATCTAAAATTTGAACAATGGTGGTTTAACATTGAAATCCGTGTATTATTATATAGATATACGTTAAATAGTAATAATTTACTGTGTAATACACAATAAGGTAAGATATATCGCGGTGAAATGATCGCGAACAATTGATCGCCGTTGATTGGCGGCTACAAATTGGTGGCCGGTTAAATTGATCGCCAAAAGAAAATAAACGAATTTTGTAAGTATTAATTTATATCGGCTTCTCTGGATTAACTGCACAATTTTAAAATAAAATTATGAAAAATTATTACGTAAAAAAAAAAAAAATACTAAAAAATATTAAATTCACTATACTAGACTTATATAATGTGCGACCGTAGACGATGAATTTTTTCAATTTGTGTATATCAATGATATTATGAAAATCAATGACAAGTCATCATTTAATTTTATCAGTAATAATAAATTATTATTGTATTATTAGGGAATTAGTATATGAGTTTAAACCGGAGATAAGTCTACGCAAAGCATTAAATTTTTCAGTGACCAATTTCCAGCCGGGATCAATTCACCGAATACAAGAAAAATATTTGATACCTACCTACTCAAATAACCATTGCTTTTAGAGCACTTGTATTGATTTGAAACGTAATATTCATCTTTCGGATTTATTATTAATTATCAACCAGTGATTCGTTGGATTTTGAATATGTCTCCGCCTTTAGGAAATGGCCTAACCTGCTTGTGCACTAGCGACGGGCCTGCATGCGTTCATATGATACATATTCATCGGTTTAGATCAATACCCATATGACTAGTATACCGTCATTTGACGATTGAAATATATACCTTATAGTATTNAACCAGTGATTCGTTGGATTTTGTTTAATTTATTAGTTGTGAATCCTAATACAACGTATTTTCTGTCATAAAAAATGCTGCCCCAGTTTTCATTGAATATGTTTCGGCCTTTAGGAAATGGCCTATCCTGCTTGTGCAATAGCAACGGGCCTGCATACGTTCATATGATACATATTCATCGGTTTAGATCAATACCCATATGACTAGTATACCGTCATTTGACGATTGAAATATATACCTTATAAAATTTAAAAGATACTGAATTCGAAAAAGCGGAGTGTTTTTGAATAGTTAAAACCGTATAATATATAAACAGAGAGGGATAATAGGAGCTTTATCCTTTCTTCTTTTATTTAAAATACGAAAAATTATGAGTAGTTAATCTAATATCGAAATGTATGGATTTCTTTTTTTTATGATCTAGCCTAATTTTTTTTTCGGTTTATTGGTAATAAAGGAGCAAAAAATCGTTTGAAAATAAACAAAACGGTTATAGTAGTAATAGGTTCTACGGTAATGCCGCAAACATAAATAAACTTTATTATTTCGTTTAAATAAATTTTTAACGAATAACATAAAAGTTTCCTTCTATTTCAAAAACGATCTCATTTGCGACTCAATGGAAACTAAAACGATGAACAGCCCTATGAGTGAGTACTTACACATAGATTATAATATCAGCTTGCATACATTCTTGTGATACATATTTATCGGTTTAGATCAATACCGATATGACTAGCATACCGTCATTTATCGATTGAAATATATAATAGTATTAAAACGCTATTGAATTCGAAAAAGCGGCGTGTTTTTGGATAGTTTAAACCGTATACCATAACTTATACCACTATTCTTCCTACAANTCAGCTTGCATACATTCTTGTGATACATATTTATCGGTTTAGATCAATACCGATATGACTAGTATACCGTCATTTATCGATTGAAATATATAATAGTATTTAAAGGCTATTGAATTCGAAAAAGCGGCGTGTTTTTGGATAATATAAACCGTATACCATAACTTATACCACTATTCTTCCTGCAACGTGACTTCTCATATATTTCATAATTTTATTGAAAAAACGTTGATTATTGTAATCAAATTTTCTTATTATGTTTGAAAACCTGGAAAAAAATAATTATAGGTATACGATTAGGATTGACAACTGTATGAATATATATTTTGTAATTTATTTTTTTTTAAAAACTACCTAAATTAAAGATTTTCTTACTTTCGACAAGAAGGCTCGGACAAACCAAAAGACTCACAACGGCTTTCTTGTATTTTATGAANTTTATTGAAAAAACGTTGATTATTGTAATCAAATTTTCTTATGTTTGAAAACCTGGAAAAAAATAATTATAGGTATACGATTAGGATTGACAACGGTATGAATATATATTTTGTAATTTATTTTTTTTTACCAACTACCCATATTAAAGACTTTCTTGCTTTTGACCATAAGGCTCGGACAAATCAAAAGACTTACAACGGCTTTCTTGTATTTTATGAACATATTCAATACCTGGACCGGATTTTTATTATTTTTTTTAATTCCAAGTTATTTTCTTCGCAATGAAAAATATTCCAAACAAATATATTTAACGTTGGAACAATCGACGTGGCATATTTAAATTAACGCCGTAATCGGCTTTTATAAAAATCGATTTTTTTTTTTTTACTGTAGTATCGTTGAATGAGTCGTAATCATAGATAGGTATATGACATTTTTTCAGAATTATTTAAGCGTTCGCAAGCATAATATAACTTTCTAATCGACTATATTTGGATTATTAATAATGACTTAACGTTTTTAATAACGTTTTTTTTTTAGGCAAATGCCCGACACACAATAAGGCGGTTTTAATCAATGTAAAACCAAGTGCTTTATCGGGGTACGCTGGGAATTCTAAGATTGAGAGCTATTGGAGACCAGGAGACCCTATTTTTGTTAACTATTTAACATACAATCTGGCATTAGGTTTATTAAACCAGATAGAAAACAGGTTCGGTTATGGTGTCACATATTCCAGAAATAAAGACAGTGCTCCTGAAAACGCCGAAGAGTAAGATTTGACTAAAATAATATTTATTATAACTCACCGCCAAATTCATAATGTTGATTTAATGAACGGTGTGGATATGTCATAGAAAGAATATGATCGAATTATGTTTATTTATTTATACTCTATGCCCCTTATCTCATTGCTCGGATTACTTTTATTGTTAAATCAAATCAAATTATGTTAAAAAATTCAAATTTTGAAAAAAGTTTATTTAGAATACGTAATGGAAAAATATTAGTCATGATTCATAATTCATGGATCACGAATAATCTAAATTGTATGTGGATTATAAGTCGCTAGATATATTAAATTTATAATCTTCTAAAAAAAGATAAAATNTCATAGGGCTACCTACAAATTCAGCTATATTGTGCAATACTACAAACAATATAAGAAACACTATTAAAACCAGCTAAATAGTTATATGAGTCAAAAATTAAAAAAGTAATGTTAAACGATTAGTTAGGATATTTATTTTAGCTCATTCAAACACAACATAATAAATTTGTTTTAAATAATTGTTAACTGGCATTCTTTAGTGATGGTATTAATACTGTCTCCAAACCAACATTTTGTACCTACTTGGAAACGAACTTGAATAATGATATTTCATATAAATTATGCCATAACGTATTTGGCAACTTGTGGGGACAGATCGGTGGCAATGTCCTTGAAAATTGGACGAAGAGCAAGATTTCTGGATCCATTGAATTTGCCAACGAATATTTAAACGTGCAGGTGTTGGCCGACGAGACGACAGACCCATCATATGCGTTAAATATTAACTTTACGAAGCAGATATTTAGCTCCTGTGTAATAGGCGGTCAGTGCACGTTTATAGCCGACAAAAAGTCACCAATACCTATAGTGCTTAAAGGTTATGAAGGAATGTTGGGATACAGATAAGGTTATATAAGTTATTCAGCCACTCTAAACCAGTTTCTTTCCACAGCCTTGCGAGCCGTAGCACGCTATGATTCCAACTCAACTTGTTTAGAAATAAATTGTGAATATGAAAAAAGTCAAATAAATTGCATGCTATCGCAACAGGCCGTCTTTACCAAAAATATAGAAGTCAAAGGTGATAATATATTTTATTATAATAAAGCCGCTTCCCTTAGACGCATTTAGTCTTCTTCTGCTTCTTTGCTTGCATTATCCAAATCGGATGTAAATATAAACACCTCGTAAATATATGATTCCATACTTATGCACCATTTTACTGTACTATTAAGTATGTTTTACAATACTAACTAAGTTATCTAGGTTACCTGATTACCTAAGTATACAAGTTTATCTAGTGCATCACAGAACATTGTAAAATCATATAAACCAATAAGTTCTATAATGCAAATACGTGCTAATAACAATACACATATAAAATGTATAATCAACTAGAAATATAACACTTATTATTATTAGTAATTATAGTTCTTTCGACAAAAAATTGTATGAATTAATAATATTACCTATTTGCAATTAATTATTTCGTAAAATATAAATCAGTAAAATAGCATTTACGGAGGTGGTTTAATCATGTATATTATATTTATATTGATTTAATTTTTTGTATACACCAGCGGTTTTCAACCATATACAAAAAATCGCGAATACTTCACTTTAATTTTTTTTA